AATGCATTACAAGACGCATTAATTTTTTTGTCATGTCCACAACCCTTGATGTCGAGATGATCAATTTGAAGATATTTGGGCATAAAAAAAACCTCTTGTCAAATTTTGGAGATGCGCTTTAATTTGAGTGTTTAGAACATCGGCTCTATATAAACTTTTTCCTTATCTGTAAGTTTGTAACTTCTTCATTTACTACACCTTGTGCACTACATTCTGTGCCTGTAAATTAAGTTCATCACAATGAATGTGAGAATCAAGTTCTTCACATTGCAGTTAACTTCTCAGTGTTGAGAAAATAAATATGTAAAAAGAGGATATATTAGTGATTTTGTACTTCAGTGTTGAGAAAATAAATATGTAAAAAGAGGATATATTAGTGATTTTGTACTCAATTGTTAGGGGAGAGAGAGAGAGGGGCCTGGTAAGAAATACATAACCAAAATAAAGGAGAAACCATTCAAGGAACCATGAAAAAAGCCTTGAGAGATTTGAAAGAAAACCACTTTTGGCCCACAAAGTTGATGGAAAGCCCATAAAAGGACATATTAAGTGGAGCTTCATTATCAATGTAATGAGAAGCTATCCACGTGCCTCACTCGGAATAAAGGATGGCTAAAACTTAAAAGAGCACGTATAGTATGCTCCCTCGAGTGCATTGTTTATTTCCGCTCCTTCGGTCAAATGACCTTGGGAGATTTTTTTAATAAGAAACTTTAGCAACCACCTAAGACTCACTCAATAATTATTCTCAAAAAAATAAAAAATAAAATTTGAGTTTTCTAAGGCTTAGATCTCACCCTCTAAAAATTTTATACAGTTTCTATTCAATCTTAAGACATTATTTTTTTCGAGTGTTTAGAAGGTGAAATTACATAAAAAAAAAAGATTATTGAAGTGTTAAAAAGATTATATCCCCAAAATTTGGAGTCTAAAACCTAATCCTTGGTTGAATTTACCCGAGGGAGTAAATGAACAGTAAAATCCTAAGGGAGTAGAATATATTTTGGCAAACTTAAAAGGGAAACCATCACATCACACCCATTACATTGAGATTGGTAGTGGTGGGATCTCTTCCCATATTATATGTGATCTCAAAGAATCCCATTAAGATTGAAACAGCTAAAGAACATGTGAGGAGTGTGGTTTATTCAAAATTGATTCACTAATCAAATCGATCGGAATAGATTTTCAAAAGATAAATAATAATAATAATAATATATAATTATTACAATAAAATCAAAGACAGTGCTGATTCGAAATTTTGCTATTATGTTTTATGTTTAAAAAATGCTGAACTTAAAACTGCATGCATTGAATGTGAGTATGTATGGTATCAATTTCTCTCTCTCTCTTTATATATATATATATGGGAAACACTACAAAACGTCTCTAGGTGAAGTTCTACATTACTTCACTTACCGCTTTATCATCGTTTAAAGTTTATCATACGGTCACATATGTCTAATATTATTTGAATTTTAATATTTTTTTATAAATCATAATGATCTAAAATTTTGTAGGTGTGTGCGTCTTAGTGAGATGCACATGAATAAACATATAAAACAAATAATTTGAATGATAAAATGATGTAAAATACCCCTATAAAGTTTCAGGGATAATTTTATCATTTTATTTTATGGCTATTATATTTTAATATTTTATTTTGGGGTGACTTGGTCATGCTCCAAATTTTAGATAAATCTGATTAGTACAATAATTATAAAAATTCAAATACTACTAGACAACTATGACTGTGTGATGAACTTTGGACGGTGATGAAGTGTAGGTGAAATACAGTAGAATTTCATCTATAAACGTTTTGTAGTATCTTCCATTTCTAAACTATTATATCTATTTTTGTTTCAAAATTTCGAAATTTCAATTTAATGTCTTCCATTTCTAAACTATTAACCTCTTCCTTACATATGATCGGCCGATGGCCAATTTGTGTAAAACCAGAAAAGAAAGCTTACGAAATCAGCAAAAAACAGGAGGAGAGTTTTTTAAGTAAGAAGGATAAGATAAAGAGAAAAAATAGAGGGAAAAAAATCAAATATTTAGGAAGCAGAGCCCTCAAGCTCGGCACTTGGAGTTAGACCTGACCTGATGGCGCAAGTCCCTACTCCTTTTGTGGGACGACATATCAAATATTATTTGTTTCTATGCTACAGTGTATCGTCATAACGGAATTTGTTTCGATTCCCATGATTTTTATGCCTTTCGTGGGACTTTATCAAATATTATTTCAACCAATTTCAATTCAACATAAATATTTTCTTCCTAGATAGGTGGTTTCATGACTGTGATCATGGGGTGTGGACTACAGTTTGGTGTGGCCTATAGTTCACTGTCCTAATGTAGACCCTACAAGCTTGTAGGTTTCTTGGAATTCTTTTAGGGGAAATTTATATACGGATTAAAGGTCCGTTATAACAAAATGGCAAAAAAAAAATAGACCGTTATTATTAAGAAAGATAGAATTCTCAATTATTATTATTTTTGACAATTTCGACCTCGATGTTTGACGGGAGGGGGGTTAATGGAAGGCGTTAACAGGAGTTGGGTTAAGATGCGGTCTGATAATTAAGTTAAAAACGTCCAAATTTTCCCAAATCTTTTGGTAAGAATGCTCATTTTAGGATGAGGAGTTTTGAGCCTTTGCTCACCATTCTAGTTCAAAGTCGAGACACACTAACTCTATTATATAACTGAGGAGATAAAAGTCTTTAATTTGCTTCTGAAGAAGCAATCCATTTCTGCGATAAATCCATGAACTGGAGGTTCTTCAACTGAGTTATCTTTTTGGGGATGCTTCCATTAAAATAATTGGATTTGAGAACAAGAACACGAAACTTTGAAAGATTCCCAATAAACTCTGGGATCTTTCCTTCCATTTTTGTTGCCACCCAGATTCAGAAACTCTAATTCTTTGATGTCTTCTATGAAAAGAAACCTTCAAATTGATTGTCGTTTAATTGCAGAGAGCCCAGGTTGATTGCTTCCCGTAGGGTGTCTGGTAAAACACCCATGAAACTATTTGTTATGAACAATGTCGGTCCAATGTTAGGAACATCGGATCTCGTCTGGTAAAACACACATGAAACGATTTGTAGTGAACAATGTTGGTCCCATGTCATGAACATCGGACCGCATTTTGTTCAATTTTTTTTAACATAATGCGGGACCGTTTGAACTTTTAATTTATTTGTTATAAACAATATCGTTCTGCTTTAACATCGGTCAGAGGCTACAATAATAAAAAGATAAAAAAAAAAAAGGCAAAAAGTACTTAATGGACTTGACGGGAGTGGGGTTACGATACCATCGGACCGTGGTCAAAATTGTCAAAAAAATTAAAAGAAGGATTCTATCCTTCTTGATAATAACGGCAATTTTTTTGGCTATTTCGTTATATAATGGACCTTTAATCCGGTCCGTATATAAATTTCCCTTCTTTTAGCTAAAAATCAGTAAGGTGTTTTACAAAAAAAATTCTTTTGAATGGGGATTGAATTTTAAAAGTAATTTAAAATTATAAATATGCCTTTCATAAAATTTTCAAATACTCTAATATTAATATAATTTTCATATTTATAAGGACATTTATTGTCAAAAATTTTAGAGTAGGAAATTCTAAGGTTACCATTGATAATGGTGGGTGCATTCAAACACCGACCCACACACAAGGGCTAACATTTTTTTTCTTATGCAAAGTGCCATATACTATCATTTAATCTAGAGAGTATGTATCAATATTCTAATTTTATTTTTCTCAATCAATTGAATTAGACTAAAGTTTTGGGTGTAGACTCTTCCAACATGGGAACACATATTAAAGGTATATAAAAGTAATTTAACCAAAATACTCATAGAATTTGGAGAGGTATTTTGGCCATTTAATTTAATTAAATTTTTTATATATTATTAACAAATGTGCCTTTGTCAGAAGTGTGGATGCCCAAAATTTCCATCAATCTTATTGATACAAAAAACAAAATTAAAACACTATATGTACTCTCAATTGTCATGTATTCATGTTATTGATATAATTTTGGATATAGTTTCACATAGTTCTTTATTTTGCAAACTTTCTTTCAACAAAAGGCAACTCTAGTGCTGTAGATCTGGCTTAATGTTCGGAGACTCAGCCGAGTTGACTCAGATCCCTTGTCAAGCTGATTACCCATATAAAATTTAGATTAATTAAAAATAAAAAACCATAAGAATTATACGTCAGTTGGATTTTTTTTTTACTGTTATTATCGAGTTTTTCTTGTGATATGCATTATTTTTATATTATCCTATTCTCTAGATTTTTCTAAAATCTCTGATTATTAATCATTTTTTTTAAGGAAAAATTTTATATAGAGTCGAGGCTCTAAACAATCAAATTGAGCCTGCATAAAAAATTTCAGTAGAAGAGCAAGCCCTGGCCGATTGCAGCTAAATATGAAGCTAACCTATAAAATCCTGACTAGGAGATAACCCTCACACCTCCTTGAGAAATTATTTTCTCAACACGTGAACGCTCGATGCCTCATGTGTGCTTGGGGTAAAAGAATCTGGGCTCCATTTCGCAAGACGTTAAGATTTCAATCTCTCAATCGCTCCCACTGAATGAGAGACTACTGAAATTTAGGCCTTGATAGGCCATCCACCATCTATCCTTATTAACAGTTGGTGGAGATGATCTATTGTTCTGCTTTAAAGTTGATCGATATCTATTATTATAATTATAGGTCATCTCCACAATCAAATGATGAGAATGGATGGTTTAGGAGTTGCAGGAACCATTATTAGTAGCACCACTGGCTGTGCAGGAAGCTAATGAGGTGGCTGCAGAAGAGGAGCATTCAGACTTGTTGTGCGCGTGGAAGTACGCACGGAAGCTTTAAACCCGATAGATTAATATTTGACTAATAAAGTATAAGAAATAAATCATGAAATACGTACAAGAACACAAAGATTTATGTGTTTCACTCAAGAGGGCTACATTCACGGGCACGGCAAACTGAAATCTATTATACTAATGAAAGTTACAGCAACAATTTTGAAACAAACCTGGACAAAAAAACCAAGTCAAACGAACCCTTTTAAACCACCATCCCTTCCTTCTGGTTACTTCTGATAACCATTACCAACAACACCAGATAGAGACGAGAGCAACGAGAAACTTTCTCTCTAACTAAAAGTGAACGGCCCAAAATCTATATGGGAACCGCTTCTCTACAAAAAACAAACCTCTTAATCTTCGAGAATCTACAAGAGGCACCATCACAATGTTTCTCTTCATAGGAAGTTCTCTTCTCATGTTTGGCACCATCATAATGGTTCTCTTCATAAAAAGCTCTCTTTTCCTGTTTGATAACTGGAAGCAAGTTCATGAACCACAAATTGGAAGTTCCTCACTGTAAATTAGAAGTTACTTAAGAAGTTCCTAGTTTTTGTGTCTGATAACATCCCTAGAAAGTTAAGACGTTCCTGGTTTCTATGTTTGATATCCTCTTGAGAAGCTAAGAAGTTCCTGGTTTCTATGTTTGATAACCTCCTAAGAAGTTAAAGAAGTTATGAGTATCTATATTGGATTAGTTTTAAGTAATAGGCAAAATGTAAAATGTTAAAATGGAGACCTACATATTTTTATTTTTATTAATTTGTAGAATATTATTTTTTGGGATACAATATCAATTGAAAGTAATAACTCCGACACAATCCTATTAAGACAAACAATCACCATTATATATTAGTTCTCAGTGGACGTGAGAACGACAATGTGGAATACTTACGCTCGTATACCTTGAAATATGGGTGAAAGCGTAGTGTATCACCAGCAATGTGGGCAGGTGTTTCATTGCTTGGTGCTTGCAGGAACAAGGGTTCTAATTTTAAGATCGCTTTTAAAACTCTATGGCAAAAGTAACTTATGGTTTGCCCTCAATGTTGGAACCGTTCCTGGACCACCCTATTCCGCTGATCGTGTGTGACGGTGCTTAAAACTATGGCTACTTATTCATCACTTGCCAAATGTTTTGTATTTATAATGTTTGTCATCTCCTTTAATAAATTACATAGACTGATAAAAGCATTTTCCTCAATTCGTAATTTGTTGAAGCACTTATGAGTGTGCCCTGACTGCAAGTATTGGACATAATCAGCCTCAGTAAAAATTGAAGTATGAACACGACCCCTCCTCATTTAGGTAGTGATATGCCAATATGCAATGAAACACGTTGTATATGCAACACATAATATTACCACCAACCAACACCGTCGGGGATCCATAACTACAAATGAAAGAAGTCATCCATAACAATAAAGCAAACCATAAAGTACTCTTTGACATTAAAATGTAAAGCCATACACATACAAATGAAAGAAGCCATCCACATACATAGTTATAACATGCAAACCATAAAGCAATCTTCAATCAAACCATCATCCATAAAGCAAATTATGAAGTAATCTTTGACATTAAAATGAAAAAAGCCATCCCACATATAAATGAAAGAAGCCATCTCTTTCATCATCCATAAAGCAAACCATCATACAAATGAAAGAAGCCATCATCCATAATTTTGAGACCTAGAAATTATTTATTTATTATTAATTTTGAGAATTTTATTTTTGGGATAAAATATCAATTGAAAGTAAAGTACGTTGGATTGATATATATATATATATATACAACAATTGAAGCAGGTGTTGCATGATAAACTTCATGGCACCTCAAAATTGAAGCAGGCTCTAGACAATGTCAAGCACAACCTCAATTCAATATTGTGTATCAAATCACTAGTTTTTTAATCCACTGACTTAAAGTAGAAATCAATATATTTTCTTTACTATTGTGGGTATACAATTTGTTGAGTCTTTTTTCAATTATATATTATCCTAATCTCAAGCACCAAAGGCCACAAGCATGCATGTATCTCTTGAATTCAAGCTTCCCTTGTACATTATTTGTCCTTCTCTCCTTAATTATCTATTGTACATATATTGAATCATAGTTCAAAATAGGACATACTTTATGAAATAATATAGGACCCTCCCTATTTCGAGAGGGGCGCTTAAGAAATTGACCTTAGAGAGAAAAACTTCAAGAAGGAAAATCAGATTCATTGCTTAAACAAATAACAGCCCAAGTCAATCCAATGAAATAGTAAAACAACAACAGAAACATAATAATACCCTAAAATGGATTAAATTCATAGCCCCAACCTTATTAAGCTCGTGATGCCAAGACATTTACTTGATTGGCAAGATTTCCAGTTCATGTTAGTATTTACAAGGCAATCCTATGTGAACAAATATGGGTTCAAAGCAACTTGGTTCTTACCCCCAAGTTCTGAATTCCACTGCTAACCCGCTGGAAGAGAAAGCAGTGCCTTCTAACAATAGCAATTTTGATACCACAATAATGCTCCAAGTTGCATTCCTAAGAAGGAATAGCTACTTTAGTAAGGAATAATGTGCATTCCTAAGAAGGAATAATAACTAGTCATAAACAATCAATCCATTGATCTAAATTCTAAAGTTTCATTGATTACTATAGTTTCATTAAACCCCGACCCTATTAAGCTCGTGATATCAACATTCAGATACTATTCTAGGTTTGTAGTGCATTTGATCAGAGATCTTGTATGAATAAGCGGGAAATGAAAAAAAAAAAGACTTATAATGGCACACCAAGAATATAAAGTATCCATCTTAAAGATGGATGCAAATAAGTGGTACATCTAAAAACAATTGAAATTAATGGTCCAAAAGTTTTCTAATAGAATGATTTTTCTAGTTTAAACATACATAACTGAAAATGCAAGCAGTAAGAAATCAGCCAATTAAAACAGACATGCACAATACAAGTTGTAAGAAATCAGCCCATTCAACAATAACTTGTAATAACATGAGCATTACTTACATTCACCACTGATGCATCCATATCCCTACCTAAAAAATATATGTCACCCACAATTCAAAAAATATACGTCATTCACAAGTCATGCACACAACATTTGTGTTCTCCCTCTCTATTTATTATAATAGCACACAACATTTGTATGTTATCTATTAAGACATTTGTGATGCATGTCAAGCAACATTCACAATTCATGAATCCATATATAATGATGTACAAAACCAGCCCATTCAACAATAACCTGTAATAGTTTAAACATACATAATTGAAAATGCCCATATCATAGCTATAATAAGAAAATGCAAATGTTGGTAATTCATGTATTTTCTTGTTTGCATAAAATGATATAAACAAACCCACATCATAGCTGTATATCTTAGAAAAAATATATCAGATTTCATGAACCCATAAGCATTATTCTTAAAAAAGAAATGTAACAAAATGAGCATGGTAACTACAACACTCATAATTGGAGCTAAGTAAAACTCAAGAAACCCAAAAACAAAAATCACAAAAAAATAAGCAAGATTATTCTCAATTCCAGTAAAATTCAATATTTTATTCACAAAAAGGAAGCAAGATTAGCACTATATCACAGAGAAAATAGTCAAAAACCCAAATCCAAAAATAACAAAAAATAATAAAAAAATAAAAATGATGGTAATTCATGCACATCTTGTTTGCATAAGAAAAAATATATTAGATTTCATGAACCAAATAGCACTATTCATTAAACACAGAAAAGTACCAAAAAGAGCATGGTAGCTGCAGCATTCTTAATTAGAGCTAAGTAAAATTCAACAAACCCAAACATACAAAATAACAAAAAAGTAATATTCCTATAGTTATCTACTCATGAAAAAAACTCCCACACCATATGCATTGAGAAACTCTTGTAGTTTTTCAAAAAACATAAAAAATAGCCACAAGTTGCATTCATTTGCTGCTTTTTCAGTATTTTTATCTCTTGGTTTTGTTCACACTTTGCTGAAGTCATTGATGGAACGACTCAAAAAAGCAAATGCCAGAAGTTGAAAAGCAAATTCCAGAAGTTGAAAAGCTAAAGAACGAATATGATAAATTCACACTTTGCTGAAGTCATTGATGGAACGACTCAAAAAAGCAAATTCCAGAAGTTGAAAAGCAAATTCCAGAAGTTGAAAAGCTAAAGAACGAATATGATAAATTCCAGCCAGAAAGGATCAAATCAAATAACCATAGATCAGTAACAAAAATATTAAAGAAGAAGGAATTGAAATAACCAAAATGGCTCAAATAACCAAGAACCAAGAAGCACAAACCTCGTAGAAACCAATTAAAAATATATCAGGCTGCATCTTCCTGAAACGAATCGTATATTCAATCTATTTATTCAAAATATGCAAACTAAAGTTACCGTAAGTAGAATCCTTATTTGGCCACTTTATAGAAAAAAGAAAAAAAGAAGACGAAAGTGAACACCAAGAACCTCTAATCACCCAGTAAGATGCAATCAGACCAAGAAGGAACTCAAAATAACTCACTAAGATGCAATCATGCCAAGAACCTTTAATTTTAATACACATGCTGCAAATTAACTCAAAATATAAGAAGAAAAACATGAAATGCCTAACTTGAGTAAGATGTAATCTATTAACAAATTTCACAAGACCGAATCACTTTGCTTTACCCAATGTTTGAAAATGGGGTTTGTAACTGAGCTCTGATCTATTGCGCTGCTGCGAAAAATCTGTAAAATCGCCAAATACAGACGAAAAAAAGGACTAAGATTTTATTACAAATTGTTTGAATAATCAGTTTGTAATTGAGCTCTATTTTTTTTGTAACTGAGCTCCGATCTATTGGGCTATTGTGAAAAATCTGTAAAATCGCCAAATAAACACAAAAAAAAAAGGAATCAGATTTTATTACAAACTATTTGAATAATCAGTTTGTAATTGAGCTCTATTTTTTTTGTACCTGGGCTCTGATCTATTGGGTTGTTAAGAAAAATCTGTAAAATCGCCAAATAAACAAAAATAAATAAAATGACTCATATTTTATTACAAACTGTTTGAATAATCAATTTGTAATTGAGCTTTATTTTTTTTGTAACTGAGCTCTGATCTATTGGGTTGTTGCTAAAAATCTGTAAAATCGCCAAATAAGCACAAAAAAAAGACTCAAATTTTATTACACACTGTTTGAATAATCAGTTTGTAACTGAGCTCTTATCTATGGGGCTGTTGCGAAAAAATCTGTAAAATCACCAAATAAACACACAAAAAAAAGGGACTCATATTTTATTACTAACTTTTTGAATAATCAGTTTGTAACTGAGCTCTATTTTTTTTGTAACTGAGCTCTGATCTATTGGGTTGTTCTGAAAAATCTGTAAAATCGCCAAAAAAAAAAAAAAAAGGACTCAGATTTTATTACAAACTGTTTAAATAATCAGTTTGTAACTTGTAACTGAGCTCTATTTTTTTTTTGTAACTGAGCTCTAATATATTGGACTGTTGCAAAAAATCTGTAAAATGGCCAAATAAACACAAAAACAAAGGACTCAGATTTTATTACACTGTTTGAATAATCAGTTTGTAACTGAGCTCTATTTTCTTTGTAACTGAACTCTTATCTATTGGGCTGTTGCGAAATATTTGTAAAATCATAAATAAAAGGTGTGCTATCCACTCTGATTTTATTAAATAAAACACATCAATACTATTCGTTGTGGTTAGGGCAGTCGGGGGCAAATACCTCGAGAAAGATAAAGAACACAGATCAGAGCTCAATAGGAAGGATCAAAGCTCAAAGAAGAGATATAGAGAGAAAGATGACGAAAATCAAAATCAATAGCATACCTCAAGATCAATAACACAAAGAGAATAAGAGCTCTTTGCTTCAAGAGCTCAAGAACAAAACACATAGAGCAATAACACAGAGAGAATAAGACTCAATAGAATACCTCAAGATCAATAGCAAGGATCAGAGCTCAAGAACAATTGAGTACACCCTAGTGTTCGACAAATATATACGGCCCCAATCATAGTGATGAAAGAAGTTTATTTTTTAAAGAATTTTCTAGTGTGGCTCATTTTACATGGTGAAATTCTTAATCCAATTTTAACATTGTTAAGACGGATTTTTTTTATTACGAACTATTTCATCAACCAAACCAATTTCCAAAGGGCGATTATTAAGGTGGGGTCAGATCATGCTCCTCTTCTACTCAATACTGATGGTTTCAATTATGGTCCATACCCTTTTAGAATTGAACGTAATTAGCTTTCGGATAGAGAATTCTTAAACAAGGTGGAGGACTTTTGGCAGTCCACTAGGCTAGGGGTGGGTTGGCCATCAAATGGCTAGGAAATTAAAATTGCTAAATGAAAATGCAGTGAAATGGAAGAACAAATCTTGGGGAAGTATCCAAACAAAACTCTATTTCACATAGAAGAGTTGAATGAACAATAGTTCTCAGGAGTTGTTCTATCTGAAGAACAGATGCAACCTTATTACATATTTACCTGATTTGTTAAATATGAAAGAGGTACACTGGAGGCCATAGTCGAGAACTAAATGGTTAAAAGAAGGGGATTTGAAACAATGAGTTCTTTCGTACTATTGCAAATTCCATGACGAGGAATAATTCCATATAAAAACTTAAGAGTTAATTGAGTAGATCGTAATGATCCATGTGTGATTGAAGAGGTGTTGGTTGACCATTTTCAAAAAGCTTTTCTCGATGGGACGAGAATGTTTTCTATAGACCATGTTCCTTGGCTCCCTTCGGAAATGACTCTTGGGTGGAATGTAAATTTGAAATAAACGAGATCAAAGAGGAGGTTTTTGGCCTAGGTAGAGTCAAATCGAGGGGCCCGATGGATTTCTATTGGCCTTTTTCCAAAGGCTTTGGGACCTACTGAAGGACGGTCTTATGCTTACAGGAATTTTTCGCAAAGGGAAAAATCAGGAAGGTTATGAATTCCAATTTTGTTGCTCTTATACCTAAAAAGATTGTGATAGAGGATGTCAAAGATATTAAGCCTATAAGTTTATTATTGGATAGTTTATACAAGATTATTACAAAAGTTCTGGCCAACAGATTACCTGAAGTTTTGCGTTTTGTGATTAGTGCGCCTCAATTTGCTTTCTTGAAGGACATGCAGATCATGGACCATATTCTCATTGTACAGGAATGTATTCATTGTAATTAAAAGACCAAAATCCTGGGTTGATATGCAAAATTGACTTTTAGATAGCTTATGATAGTAGATCGACAAGTTCTCTATAAGATAATGGAAAAAATGGGCTTCAGATCTAGATAGAGACTTTGGATACAATGACGTATTTCATCTACTCACTTTTCTATACTTTTTAATGAGAAATCCAATGGTTATTTTAAGGCCTCTAGTGGAATTTTTAAGGGGATCTCTTATCACGATATCTCTACACCTTAGTGGCTGAAAGTCTTTATGTTATGTTGAATTCAATGGTTGAAAAAGACATGCTTACCGGTATCAATATAGGCAGCAATG